ATTTGTTTTTAGATGACACGCAATAAATAATTAAAATCATACAACATTCAATTACGAATTTAGAAAGTGTGGAACTTATACTAATTCCGATATTTCATAAAAACATTACAATGAAATTATCTACAAGAATTTAGGGACAGTGGAATAGTTGCCCACTGTTTCATTTAATTGTTTAATTCATTAATTGTATAAATTTATTATTGTTGATATTATTTACACCATTAAAAAATTGTTAATGAATTTATATTTTTCTCTATAAAAGAAAAATATTTGTGTAAGTTATAAGTATAACATTTAAATTATCAGTATCCAGTTAAATTAGATGATATGAAGCAAAGTGTATGATAAATGAAATAACAAAAATAATAACCGACTAAACCAATAATAGTGTTTATATGAACTTACAACCTACGACTACACAATATAAAGTCAAATATTCAAATACATATATAATTTACCTAAAATTCAGAAGTAAGTAAATTGTTATTGTGTACCTGATTTATTTTACATGAATATCGATATGTTAATATAATTTTATTACAACACAATTATTATACAATAGTTAATACTAGTACTAAATATATATATTATCAAGTGTTGGATATTGTTTATATATACATGATTATATAATTTTATAAATGTATTATATACCGATATATAGTCGTAAATCTTAAAAACTTGAAATAAATGGAAGTCCATTGTGAAACCCTAATTATTACTCAAAGTAAAAACTTTAGATAATTAAACATTCTATTTTCCAAACTCACAAAGATAAAGATGATTATTATTCATTGACATTTTCACAACCGTTCAACTAATTATCTAATCGGCGTCTGCGTATAAGCTAAGGAAAACGACACATCCATACATCAGTGATATATCTATCATTAAAAATACCGTTATGGCTAGAAAATAGACTTTGATAATAATTAATAATTCATTACGAGATAACGAGAGAACCATTTGAAAACTGTGTTGAAAATTTTGAAATCGACGTTGTTGTCGTTTCTAGAATAATGGTATACTTAAATGTTTAACGACTACAGTATAATTGCAGACTCCGTTCAATGACGTCCAGGGACATGGGTACGGTACACTGTAATTTTAATCTATTATGAAACATAATTCGACCAATTTAATTATTAAAAAATTCTTAAAAATAGTATTTTAATAATATAATGGAAACCTATACCTATAGCTAGCTTCGCTTATGCGTAAGTGACAACTGTCAAGTGCATATTATTAACTTTAATTATTTCAGATTCAGAGCGCACAACAACGAATGTATTCATTTTTATGTATTTTTTTTTTTTTGTATATACAAGAAATTTGTAAAATCTCAAAAATGTTCAAATTATTATGTAGGTATTTATCTAATTAAAAATTTATGAAAAAGTTTTTTATCTAAAATTGAATAAATGATTTTCTATAAATTGTTCTACTCATAAAATTAAAAACATTATTTGTATAGATACTTAATATTTTTACACATTTTACTATACCTACTCATTGACAAAATATGTTAATACATGTACATTAACTATAATTTGTATAATATTACCTATATTTATACCAATAACACCCATTCACACTGTTTTACACTAAAGTGGAATCGACTCAAAAATTAAAAATAAGTAGGTAATTCAATAATACAATATTTATAAATGTAATATTTTCGGCAAAAATGTAATCAACCTATATCATAATAATCTAATAGTACCTATTAATAGTAAAATAAATTATTTTAAAAACAATAACAAAAAACTTATTAAGAAATATACTTAGTGACATATAAGCTGACATGTTGGCTCCGTTCAGAACTATTTTTCGTGTACAAAATACAACAGGATAGGTTCCATTTTCCTCCTAAAACAAGATACCGTTTTCCTCTACGGTCCATTTTCCTCCACTAAGAAAAAAGGTTGGTTTCCATTTTCCTCCACATTATTTTCGACTAAAATTATGTCTATTTTCTTCCAATATTTTAGCCAGTGTTGTTGTATTATGTTCCGTATTATAAAGATAGAGTAAGGCTAGGATCATATTTTGCGCTTATATTGGTCGATATAATTACATTCTAGTATCGACTATCTATTGATTGTTCATATTATGTGTAGTTTTCTTTTCCTTAAACAGGTATTCATTTATTGCTGAAGTGTCCAATAATTATAAAAAATATAATATTATAGTCAATAAATTTTTATTTTGCTATATATAAATTATTTATATGAACTATTTTATTTTTTTATTTGTATATAACATAATTAGTACCTGACAAAAAAAAACAAAATATTATAATCAATTTCATTTTTTTTTTTTTACTATACCTATTTTATTTATTATTTATTGGAGGAAAATGGACCGTGGAGGAAAACGGTATCTGGTTTTTGGAGGAAAATGGCTACGGCCAATACAACGACGTATCATTGAATCATTTAATTCTAAATTTAACATAAAAGTAAAGCATTCGATACCTATACTATAGCAGAATGGTATCTACTTGTTAATTGTTTTTAGTTTTTGTTTACCATATTTCTATTAATGATAAAAGCAATAATGTTTTTAATTAGTGATAATTATTTAAATAAACAAAAAAAAAAAATTACTTATTTTCCCGAACTAACACTAAATTTATGCGTAAGAGATAGGGCTTCCTATAAAAATCTATAGGAGTCGTAACAATAAGCTATGAATATCTTCCTAATCACAAGGAAACTATTGATATAACTTTAAATGAAAACAGTTCAGTAGTTTTTGAGTATAAACTATACAGAGAATAAAGAAAAATTCATTATTTTTGTAGATATTTAATAATATATTATGCATAGTATAAAAAAAAATAATGAAAATGAAATATTAAATAAATTAGTCATTAAATTGGCTTAGATATTGTATTCATTATTCTTTTTAAATGTATGATTAAGCAGGTAAGTATGTACTAAAAAAATAACTGATAACCTCGTATAATAGGTACCTTCAAATATTCTTTATCAAATTACATATAACATCGTTTCTTTATTATAAAATTGAAATTATATAATGTTCCTATTCAAATTGTATTTTTTATCTATTAATTTTCTTTAAAAAAGACTAAACATAAATAATAAGTATATATCAACAGACAACCATCAAATTATTTCTTGAATATTTAATAATTATATTCAATAGGTACATCTAACATCAAGATTAGGTAATTTTCATGATTTTGTGTTTAGTTGATCAGCTATTTATTATATTCTAAATATTTATATATGTATATATTTTAAATGTCTACATACTTATAATAAGTTCATTAAATTTCTTATCTTCTTGTTTTTACTTATTAAATTTAATAATTATATGATACTAGTTTTATTACTACAGTTTTTATTCTTATCCAAAAAATATTTTTCGTCTTTTAAACTCAAATAATTCGATAAACAAATTTCCTATGTATACGTTTTTAAATATTGCTTATAAAATAGCAATAATATACACCTATAGTCTTTATTAGCAATATTAGCATTAATATTTATTCAAATTTAATACCTACCTATTTAAGTAACTGTAATAACCAGCTATATCACTATAACTCGTTAATTTTAAGTGACAGAGCGAATAAACATAATCTATGTTATATAGGTAACTTGCTAAATTATTAAAAGAGAATTTAATTTTTTCATAATTTTATAATTTTAGATAGGTGACAATTTACAATCTGCTTTGCTTTTACTTTTTAATATGGACCAAGATACACAAACTGTATTTTACTGCTTATCATTATAGTGGAGCTCATAGCAGAAAATATTTGAATTTGGAATTTTATACTAAATATTAATTTCATTAATGATATTATGTATAAACATTAATATTATGCATGTAGATGCTAGAATAAGATATTTAAAATATCTTTATTCTATACACATAAATTAATTAATTGTTTATTCTCCTAAAATTTCCCAGAAATATTTTTTAGATTTAATCATTAATCTGTGTTATTGACTTAAGGTAATACTGCGGGTCAGTCATAAAAAAACAAACTGTTAAAAATTAAAAAGGTAACAAATATTAAGTTATATTGTAGGTGTGGCCAGTGAGCTTCTTCCTTTTCAAGCTTTCATGTTATTGTTATTATTTTATTTATAAAAATTGCTTATTGTGTTACGTCACCACAGATTGTAATATTCTATATCCATATCTATCAATAATAAAAAAAAAATGAAACCATAGTGGAACATGGTGTATTTATTACATTAATGGCTAAATATATTTTTTAATAGGTAGGTAGGTACACCGTATATCTGTATAACAATAATGTATAGCTAGATATCTAGCAAAAATGTATAATACACATTTATTATTAATAAATAATAATATAATAAATTTGTGAAATTTAGGTCTGATTTTATAGGATTATAATACGTGTTAATATAAATCAATAAACAATATCTAATATAGTAATATCAATAAAACAAGAAAACACAATATTAAAATAGAATACCTACATTATGTATAAAATTAAGAGTTATGAACTTAATGACTTACATTTTCGTAGATTCTAATCTCTCCTAATCCTCTACACCTATTTAAATTTTAGACCTATGGTGATTTGTCTGACAATACTGATAATTTTTTTTTTTTCATTCTTTAATAAAACATATTATTATTAAATTTGTATTTATATTATTTCATGTGTTAGTCAAATTATTAACTAATAATAAATTGTATACTACGCTAGTATACCTTGTTTAATACAGTAATATTACTAAAATACTTTGTCTATTATATAAGAGTATAAGACTATAGTATATAGAATTATTATAATACCCATTTTCCAAAATAGTATATAACTAATATATATATATATATAATCAATTATTTTAACAGCTGCTGCGTCGCTCGTTTTATACTTTCCCAGTGCGTGGTCAGACTGTCGTGGCGGCTGAACAGCTGCGTCGTGAAAAAATAATATACGTACGTCGGTGGCGGTGTGGCCTTCTCCGCCCCGTCGTTCATCATCACCATAACAGTGTGTTGGTAAAACACAATACACATTCACTACTCGCTAGTTCATTACTCATTATTACAGTAATACTGTCTTAACCACCATCCGTCGTTCTGTAAACTATTAACTATCTGCGTAAATAAAATTTTGTCTAGTTTAAAGTTGTGTACGTAATACGTAGGCATTACACCTTTGCCGTGTGGTCACTGGTCAGTGCTCACTGCTCACTGCTCGGTTCTCGTTGACGGAAATACCTAACACTACGCATAATAAATATTGTATTCCATAATCACAAAAGATTTTCTGTGTTGGTAAATAATTTAATACACACGCACATTGGAATATTACAACACAACAATTATTGCATCATATCGTAATCGTTATTATTGTTCGTATTAATTGTGACGCGGTCGATTGTTTTTATCTATATCTTTTGTGTTTCACCTACTTAAAAAAAAAAAAAGAAAACAATAAATTGTATTTCATTTTGGACGCAAGTAAGTGACAAATGTTTGTCGTCTCTCTGTTGCTTAGTTTTTACGCTTTTTACTCGTAATAAACGGGGAAATATCGTTGTACACGATCACGCGATAGTGTATTCCCGTGTGGTTGTGAAGTGTTGACGCAGTTTCGCAGGTCGTGTTGACGCGTGCAGTCAAGTACTACTATCGTAGTCGTTAATTGTCCCTGACCACGCAATCATGGCGACTAGGAAGAAGGTCCTGTTGAAAGTGATCATACTGGGCGATTCGAGCGTGGGCAAGACGTCGCTGATGAACCAATATGTCAACAAGAAGTTCACTAACCAATATAAGGCGACGATCGGCGCCGATTTTCTGACCAAAGAGGTGATGGTCGACGATCGAATCGTAACGATGCAGGTGAGTAAGCAAGCTCGATCCTAATCCTTTGTGCGCGTCGATCACCAAGGTCAACGGACATAGGATAGAATGTTAGATTGATTGCGACGTAGACAACTTTACCGCGGCTACGTCGTCATAGTCGTTGATAAGACGTAATATTATTTATACGTTTCGGCCACCGGCCACAATTATTGACAATTATATTTTTCATCTGTTTAAAACGCATTATAATCGACATCGATAAATGCATTTTGAAATATATATTATAAATTAATAGTTAATCTTAGATAAATGATAAATGATAGTAGATAATAACTTAACTTAAATGTTATTATGATTTATCATCTATGGTTTTTATGACCCACAGTTGTAATTAAAAAGACGCCACTCTAAAACCCAAGAATCGATTCTAGTAATTTAATTCCCCGATGATACGTCAGGCAACTAGCTCGTGTCAATAGCATTTTTGCTCGATAGATAATATATTATATTACATAACGTACTTATATCACAAATAAATCTGTATTGAATTCCATTTGGTTGATAATAGTAATAACTAATATTAGTACACTATTACTTACTAAATTATATTCTATGATATGCATACCTAGACTGAGATTTGTAAATTTTTATTTATTATGATGTATTCATGTCATAATTCCTCAATTATAGCTCCCCAAAATATAGAAAAATCAACAACAAAAATAATTAAATAGGTATTTTAATATTAAACTTTATTAATGATTTGTTATGATAATAACTTTTTATGATACTATTTTATTGTTATTGTAGTGATTAACCTTAATTATTAATATTATTATAATCACTTAGAAAAGTATGAAAATCTCCTAAAATTTCTATAAAAACTCTATTCAAATTTTAATACTTAATACTAAGCATACGTTATTTTTTGAAAATATTATATGGAGAGTGGAAATTTTGGTCTCTTTCAAAAAATGTAGGCTATTTACGATAAACATAACTATGATAAGTATTATGAATTTAAATTATTGGTAGGCTCCAAGTGAAATTTAAACATCTTTTTTCTAAATAAGCAAACAATTAGTTTTGGATTTAATCTGAGATTTTCATACTATAGGTCACTACGATCTTCACCCAATTTTTATTTTTTGATAGCTTCACTTAAATTAATTTTTGTAATTGCTGATAACAATATAGAACTTTTTATGTATGATGTAATAAATTATAATAGTAGTGTATTAAATAAACTTTTTAGTATCATTAAACTATTTAAATTATATTATTTTCTAAGCTATATCAAAAATGATTTCCTTAGGTTTTTATCTCGATACTTTAAAATCAGGACTTTTTTCTTACAATTACAAAATTATGCTAGGTGTAAACATAGGCGCAACTATGGGGGGGGGCTAAGTCCCCCCAGTTTAACAAATAGCCCTCTTAGTGTTTCTGTCATGTAACTAATATCCAATAATATAAAATAATAATGACATATTGAAAAATCTAATAAATTAATAAGCCGACGAATATAGAATAAATCGAATAACAATTGTTTGTATTTATTTTTTGATTATAAATAAATAATATAACATAACATTTCCAACGGAAGCAAACAAATTTGTTTAGGGCTATAGCCGCCTCTCCCAGAATTTTTATCTTAGTTGCGCCTATGGGTATAAATTAATTTTTGTTTCATGAGTAATTCGGTATAAATATAGTTAATAACTTGCAGTTTTTATAAACACAAAAATATTAGTATGATAAAATTGTTTACTTGATATACCCATTGGCAATAGATTGATTAATGTATAATAAGAATACTAAGAAGATATAAAAGTAACATTTCCCAGAGGAAATAAAACTAATTGACAAAATTATGATGTAATGATGCATATCAAATTAATTTACTATTGGATTAATATTTGTACATAAAACATTCATTATCATAAATTCCTGTACTTATGTATCAGCTTGTTATTTGCTACGTAATAAAGTTTAAGACAAAACCGTATTTTAATTTTATTTACATCTCTGGTTGATTTTTAAATTCCAATGTATAAATTAAATGTGTTGACAAATAATGATGATTTTTCAAGTATAAAACTCAAATTTTGCTTTTGAGACCTATAACTAAAATATTAAGTATCTTAGAAGTCGCCACTCGCATATGTTGTCTCTTTACAAATGGTAGATTTTCGTTTAATAAAACCAATTTTATGTGTTCAAATATTAGAGTAACCTATTATCAAACTTAAACATAAAAATGTTATCTGTGTTTCCCCGTTAGTTTTTTACGATAATTTTTTGATTTTTAAACAAGTTGTTAGCATGTAAAATTTTATTATTTAAAAATGCTCTTAACTCAACAATTAAAATACCGTAAAGAATTGACGGTAGAATACAGATAATAACAGTTATCACAGCAGATAACACAGTTAATTTTTAAGTTTCACAATAACTTATTTCATTTAGATATTTGAGTTCAACACATTAAATTGGTTATACTGAACGAAAATTGTCGATGTCATACGTCTTTAAAACAACACATGTGGCTTTAGCGTCCTGTTAAAACACATAATATATTTATTTATGTCTGTGATTGAGAGGACGTCAACCACACATATCTTCTCTGACTCGCAAAATCATAATATGCTAATTTTACGTTTAGAATTATTTTTCACTATACAGTAAATTATATATCAAATTTAAAAATATAAGAATATTATTTAGTCGTGAATTACAATTATTTAAAGTACACTATTCAATTATTACTATTATTCATTATGGTTTATTATAGATATGGGATACAGCTGGTCAAGAACGTTTTCAGTCATTAGGAGTGGCATTTTATCGTGGTGCTGATTGTTGTGTGTTGGTATTTGATGTAACATCGCCAGGATCTTTTAAATCTTTAGATGGATGGCGAGATGAGTTTCTAATACAAGCATCACCATCTGACCCAGATCATTTCCCTTTTGTGGTCCTAGGCAACAAAGTTGATTTAGATAATCAAGCTGTAAGTTTTTATTATTTTCATTATATTATTTTTACCTAAATTAACATATGGATCATTATGTTAGGTATCCACTAAAAGGGCTCAACAATGGTGCCAGAGCAAGAATGGTTTACCATACTTTGAAACATCTGCTAAAGAAGCAGTTAATGTTGAACAAGCTTTCAAAACGATAGCACGAAATGCATTAGCTCAAGAATCAGATGTAGAGTTGTATAATGAATTTCCAGATCAAATAAAATTAGATGGCGGTTCTTCAGACAACAGATCTTCAGGTAGTGATAATTGTGCTTGCTAATAATAGTAAATTATTACATTTCCTGGAACATTGCTGTCTATTATCAACATACTCCATGGCTGAGTTTCTAATAAGAGTCTCAATGTTTATCTTTATGATTATAATTATATTTATTTATATAAATTAATGAAAAAAGAACATAATATAAAACATGGAGATAGTCTATTATTTAATATTTGAATTTAAGTTATAAATATATATTTTATTATTTTTGTTTCTACTTATATGTATGGTCATATTATACTCTTAATATTATTTTTATAATTATTATTACTATTACTTTTCATTAATTTGTCAACAGAATGTTGAGTATTTTGTTGTACTTATAAAATATTAAAATATTTAGCTTATTTACAAATTAGAAGAAGACATACATCATTATGTTAATATGTATGCATATTTTCTGTATAGATATTGATACATATTCATATTCCTTCATTTAGTATACATTTTTACTTATGAAATAAACATTTTTAAAATTGTGAAAACATTTTTTTTCTATGTACCTATGTATAGAATTTAAATCTGAACAAAATCAATTTTCTTAACACCTAATAGTTAAATTGTATACATACTAAAAGCAATAGCTTAATATTATCTTATATTATCTTTAATTTTATTCCTGGTTTATCTTCATAACTTTTCTCCATTAGTCTTGTACTCTTGTTGTAATATTATACCAATGTTAGCAATAATTGTTCAAATTGTTTTTATTTGTATATAAAGTATGTTCTACTTGTTATTTTTATCTTTTAATGGAATATTAACAATTAATTAAACCCATTCTGAACAGTTATTGTAAAATAAAATAATAAATTAAATATTGTAAATATTGAGAGTTCAATACTCAAATATATGATATCTTAAAATATTTGCTAATTTTGCAATAACATTTTTTCAATTCACACAGTAAATATAATATTATTTTCTTAACTTATTACTTCTCTTAATTAATTTTCTATTAAAGAATTAAAATTTTATATGGCCCACAAGAGAACATACTTGGGTAATAGTAATATTAGTTGCTGCTATCAGTCTACATGCACAAAAAAAGTGCATTCTCTCGTGGACCAGAGTATAATAAAATATGAAATGTACTATGTTCATAGTTATGTATATTTTATTTTCAGAAATAGAAAGTTAATGAAAATCTTGTGTTAATTTGTATGATTTATGTAAGTCTGTTATCTGGTCTAGCTACATACCTAAGCACTGTCATATTATCTGTGATAAACAATTTATTAAATTACAGAATAGATGAAATTAAAGATTAAAATTATAAACATAGGTTTCATTTATTCTATACCGAAGCTATAACTACTTACCTGATATATAGTTTACAAATAATATTGCTTGCTACAATTATTTAAAATATTATTTTATTTATTTGTATAATAAACGGGTAAAGACCCTTTTGTGACCCTTTTATGTCGGTATATAAATTTTAAATATTCCATGTTTGATGGAAAAATGTTATTGTTCACATTTAAATTCAAATAAATATATTATAATAATATATTAAAAATTAAAATTGATATATTTATCATTATAAATACAGTAATGTGAAAACTTTTAAAATTCTTTTTATCATAATATCAAAACTTAATATGTATTAATTTCAAAATCTAGTAACCTTATCATAGAAGTGCTAAACAGAATGCGGAATATTCAAATATTGTATGATATTTTTAGTATTTATTGCCTTAAAATAATAACCAAACGGTTATTATTAGAATTATGGTTCTTGACAATAATGACGATTGACGCGGTATTTTACGATACGAAACTTTTTAATCATACTTAGTAGTAAACAGTATATGAACTACGGGCATTGGCCTTTATATTTTCAAATTCTTGATGTGTATATCAATATAATGATAAAATGTAGCATTTTCAATGTTTATATTCCATATTTAAACAATATTATACATAAATTAAGTTATAACATCTCCCATTGAAAATTTCTATAGGGCATGTCAGTGACTCGTAGCGTCACTACTTACTGCGTAAATATATTCAATTTACTCCTTTAAGCCAGTGCTCGAGCTTGTTCGGGGAACACAAATATTAGCGAATCAGCCAAAACGAGAGGAGAAGTTAGGTAGGTTTGCGCGATGCATTCGTCGGTGATGACTACATATGCCACACGAGTTTTCATATACCTATAGGTATAAAATATACAGGGCCCGTTTATTCTCCGTGACCGCGGAGCAATAGATCTTGCCCAAAAAAATTTAACTTGAACTAGATCTTCTACACGGTGACCGCTACTTATTCAAATAAGTATATCAGTGTATCATTGATTTTTTTTTTTTGATTTTTATTTCTTAATTTATAGGTGCAAGTGGCACTACATTTAATAAACTACGCGAATCGATGTATATATTATGATTAGTGATTACTTAATTGTTACGTACAACAGCACTACTGCGCAACAAATCAACTCTCCTGTAAACGACGCCACTGCAGCATCGTTTCGTAGTTCATTTTTAATTTCATTATTAACTTAATTTAAAAAATATATGTTTAAATGTATAATCTGTGCAATATCTCTGATATTTGTATAGGTAATTAAATAATTGTATGCATGTTTAAAACGAATAGGTTCAGTGGTTCATAAACGAATTAACTACGTACAAAACAACGATATTTACACGGTTCAAATTGGTGAAATTGATTCCATATAATACATATAAAAAAAATGTATATTATATAAAATCACACCATCGCGTCACAGCAATATTTTTATTTACTTAAGTCGCGACACAGGTATACATTGGATCATTATTAATTACCTGGTATCCCACATGTCATAACATATTAATATTTTGTTCTGTAGCACGATTAATCTTTTTTTTATTTATTTAATTAAGTTTATATGGTATATTATACCACGCTTTTTTATAACAGTAAAATTATTTTGAGTAAAAGAAAATAATAGACTACTTCTGTGGTTAAATTTTATTTTAAAATTATTTAAATATTGCTCTCGTTTTATAATTGTATGACATGATGTTTGCATATCATTTAGTGATTACCTATGGTTAATATTTTCCTTATTTCCTATCGTTGATTATTGCAGTTTAAAGTTTCGTTAATAATGTTGTTTTACGCTTCATTTATAATATGAACGATCAGCTTGTTTACCTACGGTCTGTGCCTGAACGTAATTGCACACGATTTAATATTTTTTTAAATTTTGATTTAAATACATTTGTTTTTACTTATATTTTTCGAAGCTCAAGAATTTCAGAATAAGAACATAAACGTAATTGTAGGTACATAATATAACTTAATTTTAATTCAATTAAATGCCAAAAGAGAAATATGTAATTTATGTTGCATGTCACGTATAACAGTAGGAGTTATTTAACTTTTTGATGATTAAAAAGTTAAATTAGGTAAAACGTAAAACAATATACAATATATTATATCTTTAATTTTCACATATTTACTATAATGTATAATATATATTATTTGATGAATCTACATAATAAATTTATGTTTTTTTTATTGTACCAAAAACTTAAACACAGAAATTGTCCTAAATATCTATAATACATTATATTCTCATATAGATATTATTTGTCTAGGTATTAACCAAGTAAATGTAGAAATAAATTGAGTGAAATCTGAATTCGTGATAAATGATGATGATATCCATTAGTGATTGAGTGTTACCATATGGGACAGGTATAATGTTATACTGTTATACATAGTAATTAGTAATAAAAATAATTCCAATCTCGTCTAAATGCAGCCTCTAGAAATACACACAGGTCACTACATTAATACTATATACTTATTAACCATTTTAAAAAGAAATATATTCACAGGTATATTATATTTGGTTGTCCTCAAAATTGTAAAGCGTCGGGAGAGAGGAAATTAACTCTCAGATAATTTTTTTTTCTTAAATAATTTATAAAAATTATATTCAGTTATAATGTTTTAAATTATTATTTTTTTATTATTATTCTAATAAAATGGTTTATAACTACTATAATTGCTTATAATGTGTTCATTTTATTCCAAAATATATATGATATTTTATTAATAATTGTATTCAAATAACTAAATATAATTTTTATATTTTTTATTTCAATAATTTGTTCAAAGATCTATTATATCACACTTGCATCAAAGACATTAAAAAATAGTACAAATAGGTTATAAATATAATCATACAAATTTTGGACACACTCAAGAGTATAAATAAAATTGTAATATAAAATATATTTACAGGTTTGAAATAAGCAGTAAAATACACTGTAAGAATTGGAAAAATGAAACATTTAGTATCTCTGCACCTACTATATATGTACATAAAAGTATAAAACACTGAGTTTCATATGAAAATATTTAAATTAATCAGTATTTTTTTTAAAAAACTAATATTTTTAGGGGTTGTTAGATTAATATAATAAATAAAATGGTTTGAAAACAACAAAAATATTTTTTAGGTATTTCATGTTGCAACATTTTACTCTATAATTAGTATATAAACCAAAAAATTTTAAGAAAATTGGATTAATCAGAAAAAATAAAAAATAAGGTAGGCAAGTAACTAACCTGCTGCTATATATTAGATGTCAAGTGAATCGTTATTGACTAAATCACTATAATGAATTTTATTAAATTTGAATTTAGTGATAAACTGATAACCCATTATATATCATAAAAAATGATTTAAGCGAAGATTTTCTAAATGATGGTAATTATGTTTACGAAACAATTATTTTAATAATAATATTACATTTGCATAATAATTCCCGTTTTCCTTAAATTTTTGTTTATTTTTCTCAATTATAAGAAAAAGTACTGTGAGTTTTTAATTTTAACCTTTTTAAAGTACAAACTAGAATACTAGATTTAATTTGCTATCCATAACGACCAAAACTACTCTCAGAGTAAATATTGAAGTATTTTATCAACTATTTATCGTTTACACAGACAAAAAAAAAAAAATCATTGTAATATCAATACGTTCATCATCGCTCCACTCGGAATCTAAAAAAATTACACATTATAATTAAAAAGTATGTATTAAATTTAAACTTTAGGAGGTATAATCATCATGTTTAAATGTATAGTTTTCTATATTATTATTGCTGAATATTTAAATAACATCTTCAAAGTTAATTATTCTGAAACACTAACATTTTAGTGATAATAGTTATAAATTTAATTTCAACACTTATTTGCAATAACACTGATAAATATGACACATTGACACGACACATAAAATAAAATGTTTTCTATATCTCTTTAAAATAAATCAAAATTATTTTATCTTAATACACCAAGTGTGGTCATAATGTACAAAAGTAACAGTTGGTAACTCATATTAAAATTTGAAATGTATATTTATGCACGTATATCAGTTAAATTGTAATTAAATTAAATACCTAGGTAGGTATTAAGTATCTATGTACACTTTTATGCTGAAAAAATTATGAAATATCAAAAATATGCATAAAAATAATTACTTTTTATTACAGCTGCATAAAAAAATGTAATAAATATATAGGTACATATTAATTTGAATTTAGAGCTCTTGGCTATATAAACGCTGTCAGTTCGCTGTTGATGTATTAAATCGATTCTAATGCAATAGATTTTTATTTATTTCACAGTAAATATTATACAGATTATGATCTAACAAGCCTTACTTATCAAATATTAATATGTATATTATTAATTTTAATTAGGTATTCTATGTTCCTATATATAAAATGTAGGTAATTGTAATGGACAGTTAGTGAACCGTGTACATGTAATATTTATATAACTAGCCCAGTGTTAACCTATATTATGTATTATAATTATAATGGTGTATTAAAATACTATGTTATAAATTAAAAGTAGATATAAAAATTTTTTTCATGTATAACTAAAAAAACACTTCATATGTTCATTATTTTTTTAAATTTGGACAAATTTAATTAATTTTATTGAAATTGAATAATATGCAATATAAAAAATGTAGTCACTACAGCTATCTTATTTTAATTTATTTTTAAAGTAAAGAATGACTTGTCATAAACTAGTATCCTTAAATAATAAAATATTTTTACTTTATAACGCTACTGACATAGATCTTAGTATATTTTTGAATATTTCGCAACAAGTTTGCCAATCTATTTAAACATTTTAAGATTATCTTTTGGCTACAATCCAATTTTTTTTCTTACAAAATTTAGCTACTGTTCCAATAAATTATCAATAACAAAATTGGTTAAAATATTATCGGGAACGCGTTATTTATGTAAAAAAGAAAATCACTGTAAAATTATAAAACCTTACATTTACAAGCAAACGTCTTCAGTTATAAGTTATTATATTATAAATATAAAATAATAAAAATAAAATATAAGCAAATAGAATATTTTGATTATAATCCAAACTTAAAGAAAGTATAATGGCAAAATAATCAATAATCATAATATATTATGTACGACTAAAAAAAAAATAAATATTGACCCTATCTATATATCCATATAATAATTATACATTATTTAAGGTATTTTTTTTTTATATATACATCATAATCATATTGTACAGAGTGATTTACTATAAACAGTTAATAATTACTTCGACAATTATTCAAATAAATGTTTTACCTATATAATGATAATTTTCTTTTTTTTATTTATATTATTATTTTAGGTTTATACTTTAAGCAGAATAACTATTTTAAAAATGTCAATGTACAACTATCTTTACAGTTCGGGATCGAGGTTTCCTCTTGCAACTTGATTTTTAAATAAATTTAAAATGCATTTTTAATATTTTATATTTATTCATCAAATTAACACAGAATTATAAATGAATATTTATTTATTTTTTAATCAAAATTTGGGTTATTTACTTTTAAAAGAATTTTTATCTAATATCTGTATACACGATAAATGCTATCTAGATTAAAATTGAAAAACGAAAAATTAACTATCATTATGAAGCAGTACGATATAATATAATGACTATTAAGTATTTATACATTAAAAATATTAAGTAATAAAGAGGTAATCGATCGAAAATGTTGTGATTGAATAATATTATTTTTGATTGGTTATAAAATACATAGTTACCTGTATAATTTATATGTGATATTTCTATAGACATAAATTTATTTAGAGGTCGAATTGATACTAAAATGCATTGCTAACTTTTGATTAATTATACGTAAACGTAAATAGTCATATGTATACGAATATGATATAGGATGGTACTCAACAGTAAATACTTATTATTTTGAAAGTATAAATAGTTTGAAAAATGTTAGTGTTATGCAATTATAACATTTTATATTGCCACTTATTTTTGTTGGTAACAGCTTTTTATTTTTAAATAACGCAAATGACTCCAAAAACCTACATTTTTAATTTTATAAGCAGAGTAAGAATAATAATAAAAATAAAAATAATATCTTAAATGTGTGTTATATTTTATTTAGATATATTGTTTGAGGGTTGAGTAAATAATGACCGATATCTGGTCAAAATCAGGTCTTTTTTTCCATTAATCTATGATCTTTATACTTAAAACACAGTCTATGAATCAAACTTCAAAACTTGATATTTGGAAGTTGAAAGTTTTTAGAAAATTATTCTTTTTCAAATAATTGAATTTTTACTTGGCAATCAATTAAAAATCACAAAATGATAATGGACTAACCAACAAACATATTAAAGTAAAATGTTTCTTCTGGCCAAGTAAAAATTATTATTATTATAAAATTGAAATATTTCCAACAGAAAATTTAATAAAAAAAAAAGTAAAAATAATACGTATTAAAATGTATTAAAGAGAATCGCCTTGTATAAACTATTAACCTAGGATTATAATGTTTACCAATTTATTATGACAGTTTAATTATTAATTTATCTAACAATTTAGGATATAGGTAAACCGGTAAACTGGCTAAAGTTCATCCGGGCTTCTCTTATCTATGCCGAGACCGTATGCGGTGTATACTGTACATAGTTTATTAATATTCACCGTGTCAGTATCTCGTTAATAATACACTTTGGGTACCTATGACGGTGTGATAATAATATTTCATTGTATTAATATACAAATCTGAAGGTGTAATTTATGATTAATAATCACGTACCGTTCGACCGATCCAGACCCGTGAAGTTGAGTCAGTTTGTTTTTGTCGTTTTCATTCCATCTGACACCGCGAACGAGGGAAGACAACAAATATAACGTACGATTGCATACAAGTTATCGTTAACTTTAACAAGTGCAAGTAAAATACGGTTTTAAACGAATGATCTATTTTGTCGATACAATACTGTTATATAGTTAGTATGTAGACGAATTTGTCTTCGGTGGTGCAGTATTTTTTTCTTTACGATATAATATAATATATTCTGTTCTATTATAATATTATATTGGAGAAAATCGGTTACGACGAATAATGACCACCGCGGACAAGACCTGCATTTTGGACACCATCAACAAGGGCGTACATCTGTTAGGTGCCGTGCTCTTCACTTACTCACTCTACTATTACTACACATACGTCAACATACCAGCCCATCTGAACCCCCTAGATGAGGCCGTCGGTGGAAAATTCAAATATTTAACCTTCTGCAATATGGTAAATACTTTTTGCTTATATACTATACGCATCGTTAAGTTATTTTTATTTTCATTCATTAAGTTTGATTATTTGCAAATTTTTTACACCTCCATATACTATTTTCTAAGTAAAATGTTTATTATTTTAATAAATATTAAATACGTTTATAGTCTTTGGCCCTTGTGGAACACTGAATTTCAAAAACAATTTTCCAGACATTTTTCATGGAACTCTGCTGCAGATCTGCAGGAGCTCAGCCTCCACATAAATGCTAACCGTTGTAGGCGTCTTTATTTTCACCTTTTTCTCTTCTATAGGTACTTTTTAGTTTTTCTTAGCACATATATGGTAATTTATACTCTTGCAAACTTAACGGCGAAAATGTAATATTAACTAGTCAACATTTAAAAATAAATTCGTCAGTAAATTGTTAGATATTTTTGAACAACTTTCAATGTTTTTAAGACTTGATTTTCAACAATAAATAATAATATTTTTAACTTTTATACTGATACCGTAAAGATAGCAACACAGAAGTTTACTAAAACTTGTTTTGGAATTAAACCATATTTGTACCATTTATCTAGAAATTTCTGTTTTATTGTTTGTGTAGGTAATTCAAAAAGGATAATAAACGTAGACTTTTTTTTTTAAGTTTTAAGTTTGAATTTTAAATTATGTATTAAATTAATTAAAAAAACGACCATTTTCATATTATTTCATTGTAAGTAATTCATATAATTATTTATTTTTAATTACTAAGACCTGAAAGTAAAAATTGTCGAGCGTTTTAATAAAATTGTAAATTTGAACGTAAATTTTAATTCTTTAATATTTATAAGATATACTAAGTGTAACTTAAATTTAATTTTAGATATTGTAAACTTTGCCAAAATTATTTACTCACTATTTTATCTTATTGTTGTGTAATTGTTCTAACTAAATAAAACTTTAAATGATTCGTTCTAAAAATCATTCGTGTTTATATTAATGTAAAAGTATGAATAAATACAGTAGTGAAATATGAATAGTTAAAAATATTCCAGTGTCTTGAATAAAGTCAATTAAATTGCTATTTGTACGTTAGTTTAGGTTAAGGTAAAAGTGGAAAATTTTCTAATAATGAAAATAAAATTTGAGAAACTATAAATTATCCAACAATATCTAAAAACAATCTAACAATTTTTTAAATCATTTTAAATTTTAACTTTTAATCTTTAAAGTTCGCAAGGGTATATTTTATTTTAACAGCTATACAAATTCGTTATTACAGAAGCATATTACATAATTATTTGTTGTTATAATAAGACTATAATATTAAAGTGTTAAGGTTTCTAGATAGGTAGTAACTGATTACTATACTCATACTCCCTTGTACTTGTAGGGCTTTTAAGATTATTGAGTTCTACTATTTTAGTAATATGTTTGATATTATTTTTCTTTCGTTAGTCGAGTAGTCAAGTTAAGATTAAACAAGTTTAGCACATGATCGGATTGGATAATATTAATAAAATAAATATGAAAAAATTCTTAATTATAATAGATCTAATAATGTAGCTCAGAGTTACTTATTGATGTACACCAGTTTATTATTATTTCTTAAAATTCAAAGAAATTGATCCTAATCCCTCTATGGTAGTTGATTGTACTTGACTATACTATAATAGGTATTAGATAACCTTTATAGATAAATCAAAACAAATTACTTTTAATTTAGTTGAAAAATGATGAAATGTAATTCTGATTATAATTGTATACATAATAATACACTGGTTTACATTTTTTGGGCTTTGAATGAACTGTATGTCTGAATAAATGACAGCACTACAATAGTGGTTGATTTTTTTTTCACAGGTCATCCAAACAGTTTTTTACCTATACGCGGTGTTCATCGATCACATCGCCGTGCATACTTGCTCGGCTATCACATCAGAATCACTTAAAAGAAGCAAACACAATTTTTTTACAATTTTTGCATTCCCGCTTTCTATGGTAATATGTAGTTATATTTACAAATTATAATAAAAATCGATAAAAATTAATTTTAATTTAGTTAAAAATCCATGTATAATATTACTTATATATATAATTAAAAATTGAAGAGCTGACCTAACCTATAGTAGGTTTTAAATATATCTGACCATTGAGTACCTAAATCACTGTATAATATATTCTATGTGTTAAATTTGAATTCAGTGATAAATCACTATGTATAAAAAACAATTCTACTGTAGATCATATATACGCATCTATTTTTAAACTTATAAGTTAATATATATTAAATATGTAATATATTATATTTATATATTAGTTTTTTTTTTTTTTTTATTTAAAATAACTAACAAGTAATAAGTAATAATGGATGTTGCTATAAACATTTTTGTTGTAACCATTGCATTTATAAATTATAAATTAATAATTATTACTAACATATCATATTTTTATAACTGTTATTAATTTATACTTCAACATCGAAAACTATTATAAAAGTATAATGTGATATATTGTGTCAAGTTTCCGTAATTCATATTTTTGAATCATAACAAAACAACCAGTATACTTATCAAATTCAATTTTTTTAACAGTTCAACTTCAAAGCTCATAAAAAAGATACGTTTGCATTTCAACTTTAAATAAACTTTCTATGCTCACCAACAAAAAACACATAAGACTTTCAATACTCCCTTTCCCATCATTTAAATATTGTTAATTTACTTATTGTATAACGTGTAAATTTAGATTGTAAAAATAAAACTTTGTTTTAATAGAAAAAAATACCCAATAAAAGAAGCTATAATTAAACATATTTTTTGTAATTACGTCCTCGTAACTTGAATTACTTTCGCAGTTATCTATTAAAATATTTAAATATCAGTCATTTTTCCAATATTTAAATATTAGACATATTATTAAATTAAAAAAAAAAAGCAGAATAAGTATTCATATTTGATATTTTACATCACTGATTGGACACTGAACTGATGTCTCTGTGTGGACTCAGAATGATCTTAAGTTAAGTCTTATCTGTCTATAGATCTCACTACACCTACACCAGTGACGTGTAAATGTTATAATTTATAAAAATAATGTTTAATTGTAAATAGTTCCTTAATAGTATACCGTATATGTTAGATAAGTAAATTAATATATTATATATCATAATATAACTTATAAGTAATTAATATTTTTCAATAGACTTTTTATATAAATAGCTAGTTATAATAATACTAATAAGTTATAATATCTATAAATTATAATTGATTGTTATAAATTAATTATACTTAATATATTTAATTTTATAATTAACAATACAAATTAAAAAAATATATTATATGAATATCATAAGAGCAATAAGCGAATTTTAAAAATATATTCTTAATTACATTGGTGATTATTGTTTTACAGTTCATTACCTTAAGCTTTTGGCCAATGTGGTTTGCTGACAAATCTTTAGTTATGCCTATGCACTATGATCTATACTTTCCGAGTTGGCTGAATCATGTCACACATGCACATATTTTTATATTTGCGATATTGGAAATGATCACAACTTACCGAGAATATCCATCCAGAATTACAGGATTGTCTGTTTTTATTGCTTTTAAACTTTGCTATTTGGTTTGGTAAGTAGAGTTAGATTTTCATGCATCATTTTTTCAATATTTTAATGTTATAATGGTTTTAATCTTATAACTGATTAAAATTAAAAATTATAAATATCAAATACTAAAATACAATAAATAAATAGCTTCTTTAATTAACGTAGGTATTAAAAAAGCCTATATAAGGGAAAACAATTAAATTTGCGAATAAAGTTTCTGTACACATATAAATACTCTTAAATTAAAGTGAATAAAATGCGTACCAATAAAAAAATTCAAACGAAATTTACAAATTTACGTAGATTTACCTAGGTAAATACTAGGTGGCACTTATTAACTTAAGTTAACTTCTTTTTTCAATAATAAATTTTATTTAAGTATCTATCTATTTATAAGTGTAGGTATATTGTAATTTATTATTTAGCGCCCGTCTAAATAATATAATAACATTATAAATGAGTATAATATTATTATTAAATAATATATACTATACATTAATATTTAACATCTATTTAAATGTTAAATATTTCATTATTTATGCTGGCCAAATTGTTTAGGAAAATTCGAAAATAGAACATCGGATGATTTCATTTGGAAAGTAGTGATCTAAAAAATAATTAGGCATATAACTTGTACGTAAAATATGTTAATAAAAGAGATGGAAAAATGGTGAAAGCCAATATCTATTTGATACACTTAAAATAAATATAAATGATAGTAAAACATTATCTATATAAGTATATGACTATTGATTATAACAATATAGATATTATAATCATCAGAATAATAAAAAAGTGGGACAAATAAATATAAACATTTTGAAAAAGTCGTAAACTAAAAATAAAAATAAAAATTATTTAATGATAGATTTTATTGATTTTTTTTTAGAGAATACAGATATATCTTTAAATAATAATAATAAAAAAAAATAGATTTAAATTATAAAATTTAATTTTTTGTTTTTGTATAGAGTCCTTTAGAACATTGTAAGAATATTGACTTATAAAAATTAGATAGGTATCAGCTAAGTATATGTATAATAATTTACAATTTACAAATATTTATAGGTATTTTAAAATGAATAGATAATGGATGTAATATTTAACAACGATAAATTATGATACAAACATTTTATCAATTAGAAACAAATCAGAAATGTCACTAATAGACATTTAAGTCGTATTAATCAATAATTATTAAAGTAATTATAGGTATTAAAGAAGTGAAATTATCGCATTAAAAACATATTCAATATTTAAATTAATTGAATTTTTACATTAATATATCTAATAAATTACACTAACTAAATTTAAAATTACATTGAAATAATTTTTTTTAAATGAAAAAAATATAATAATTGATAATATAAATATAGAAAAATCAATAATTAATAAATAAAAACATTGCTTACACTGTGAAAATGTATCACAGCTGTTTTTTTCAGTTATCGAAGTTTTTTGTATTTTTGTACTTATTTATCACACAATAAATTCTTATATGTACCTGGAGAAACTTTTTTCAACATTAGTAGTTGATAATTGTAAATTTTGCTTTTGTCCAAACAATACATTTGGTTGTGATTAGCCATCATAATTAAGTTAAATTTCATAAATGTAAATTATGATAATGTAATGATTAAATATTTATTTACAGGATTAACTATATATTTTACAAGAGTGGCATGTGGGTTTACCCTATTCTTGCGAAACTAAACTTACCATTGAGAGTGATGTTCTTCACCGGAACCTTTTTTTATGCTCCATTTACCTATCTAGCCGGTGAATATTTTAATAACATCTACTGGGGCATTCATCCGCCTAATGTAAGTTATTATCATATTAATTTCATTTGTTTCTATGGTTTATAATCAAAATATAATGTATAATAATATAAATTATTAAATAGATAGGTAATAAAAATTAAACACGAAATATTGATATTATTATATATTATTATGGTATAGTTTTGCTGTCCAGATTTATTATCATCTAATAATGGTTATTATGTTTTTGTAAATTTTTGTTTCAGAAATCATATACGACAAAGGAAGAATAAAATGAATATAATATTAACATGGCATTATACTCAATTTTGTATGTTTAATGTTGTACCAGAATGCCAAATTTTTAGGTATCTACTTATAAATCGCATGTACCTATGCGTTTAATTTTGAATTGTATAAGATATATCAATATTATAGGTATATATAAATTAAAATGTTACAAGTGTATATACATACTATATACAACACAATGCACCATATTATCATATAACGTCTTATAGAGATACTAACTTTTGTCGATTACCTATGTTATTTAATACCAACGAACACTCTTGTAATAATCAGCTGCCAAGCGCTTAATACTTATTATTAAGTTATGATAATATAAGTACCTATACATAATGTATCCACATTAAAATATATTCATGGTAGGTATAACATTAATTAATCGTTTCGGATTTACAATTAAATAGCAAACGAGTGGCAGCTTTAAATGACAATTGCATTAAAGCATTAAATACATGTAGAACTAGTGTACCTATGAAGTATCTATCGACTACCTGGTTACCTATGTACTATAGCGTCATGACAGTCATATGTGTAATTGTTGTAATTGGATTTGTGATGTGTAAACTTTCAAACGTATCTATACAATTATTATTTTCATTTTTTTATGACTGACTGTTGGTGTAAAAATAAATAGGCATTTACTCTCAATACGGTTTTTAACACTTTTATTAAACAAAAAACATATGTGCATTCGAAAAGTTAAACCGTAACTACGTAGGTACGTGAACAAACACTAGTTTGGGGAAGGGAATGTATTATCCACCTAATGTAATTGTAGTATTTTGGTAATAGGTAGTCATTTTGCTGGTATACAGCTACCACTGTCCACTACACTGTCCATAGTAGGTTAAAGCAACGCGCTAACGAGTCCATACAATAATATATGTATACTTAGTGTTTACTGCATGATATTATGATAATAATTTAACCTTCGATTACCTGTGCCGTTTAACGATTTATATTAAATCGCTTTCAACAACAATATTCAACGTAAAACGCGTAAAAAATGATGGCTTAATATTTATTTAAATTTTAATATTATTAAACAATAAGTTGTATTTGTGTACTGGACGTGTGACCGCGGAATATGTATTATACGGGTATTGGTGTGACTATGAAGTCGAAACTCGACGGTTCATAATTTGTATTCCCGCCACTACGAGTGCTAGCAATAGTAGCAACAGTACGCCGATTACCGACGGACCGGTGACGGGATTCGTCGCGCCGTGCCACCACAGTCGCAGACCGCAGTACGGCAGTAGCCGATTTGAGAATCGCCACGCCGAGGTCACCGCACCAACAACAACAACAACAATATCTCCACGACCGCGACAACCGTCTTATCTATACCGTGTTCTCGTCGCGTTCGCGTAATTCGTACTCGCGTTTGGGTTGACAAACACCACCGAAAACTGTTATTTGTTACTTTTAATACTTTTATATTTTTAGTTATTAGTGTTATTACAGTATTGTCTGTATTTATACGTTTTTATCGACGAAAATATTAATTTTATAATACTATATTATAATATAGTCGGTAATAATAATATTATAAATTATTACGAATTTACGAAGCCGGGTTTGAATTTCAAATTTCAAATTGATTTTACATTTTTACAGTACATCGTCCCGTACTACTCCTATTGTTGTGTCGGGCAGTGGCATTTCTAGTAATGATTTTAAATTTTACAATAATTGTGTTTTGTTAATTAATCCGCGTCCAGGGCCTATAGTGACCTAATGCTAAACGATACTTATTAATAAATAAACTAAGTATGCAGTACACCAATAACATCATTAATGTTATGAATTTATGCCGACCGGAACGGGTTTCCGAATAAAAATCGAATTAAACCAACTTCGTCGCGTATTATAATTTTGTGATGATGACACCATTACCAGTCCCGTGACATTCATGTGAGTTTTTAAGTATTCATAAGAATTTTTGACTTTTTCCTTTCTATATTGACCGGCATTCGCCGCCACAATAGCTAGCATTGCGCAAATTGCACAAGGCTGATTCCCGTCTGCTCAATAATATTATGACGTGTGTGAACATAATAAATTTCCATCAAAACAGTTACCTTTTATATTTATTATTATAATTGTTGATGTTGTCTGATCTCAGAATGTCAAACAGTAATAATGCATCGCCCAGCCGTATTCCAAAGCCGAATTGGTTGCGGCACTCGAATAGAACACCAAAGATCCAAAGACATCAAAGTCTAGTAAGTGAAAAACTGATTTTCACATTTAAATTAACTGTATGGATAATATAAATAAAGTAGGTATCTTTCATAGCTTCTAAAGAAAGGTGTCTGATACTGTTGGCATTTAATTTAATGTACCTACCAATAGTAGATAGTTGATAATTTTTTATTTTTTGACACATACTTTAAGACTATGTTAATTAAGCATAGGGTTATTAATTATACTATTTTCATGATAATATTTATTTTAGTACCTCAGATAGAAGGTAGATTATTGATAGGATATTTATAATGGTTGTGACTATGGACAGGGGCGCAATTTCAATAAAAAAACTGGAGGTGCTTATTTTCATCTATCTATTTTTATTATGACATTTCAAGGTTTTGGATACATGTTACTATTCAAATCTAAATGAACATAAAACAACTTGGGATGCTAAGCACACCTAAGCACTCCCCCCCTCCAAATTGCAGCTATGACTATAAGTAAAAATAATGATATAATTTTCAATAATAATTAGTAATTACCTATTAATATAAATATAAATGATTATTTTAATTACAATAATTAAATAAGGAATTGATAAACAAAAAAAAAAAAAAAAAAATTGAAAAACTTTGATTTTGTTTTTATTATCAAATAAACAGAAAGAACTATTAATATTTATTGTTTAATAATTACATTATTATAGAAATAATTTTTATTTGTTTAATCATCAGATTAAATTAAAATATTTATAATTTTATCAACTTAAGTATTTGGTTTTAATATAGTATTCTGATAATTGTCATCAGAATATTAAATATATAACTTATAATACAAATGATAATGAAAATTAATAATTATAATGAAATTAATAAATAATTGTGTTAAATAAATATTAATAAATATTGATATTAAAATGGCAAAATTAAGTTACTTGAGGACAACTTTTTTTTTATAGTTGATATTTTCTTTTCTAAATAACTAAAAAGTATTAAATATACATATCGAATTAGTTACCTATCTGATGATGTATACTAACATTAAACAATACATTATAATAGGTATAGTATAATAATAATGTAGTGGTAATGAATATTGTCTATCGTAATGAATGTGGATATTATTCATTTTTAAAAATTTGTTTCTCCTCTTGTCTGCTTTAGTTATTTTAAAACAAATATAAACATTTCACCAACTGATTGTTTTTAATTTTTGTGCATGTTTGGTCGTTTTTAAAATCAATCACTTTTTTAAAATGCTTAGTGTCTATTAATTGTAGATTTATCATAAATTATAATTTAGGCTATGAGATAAATATATTATTAAATCTTAAAAAATGCAATAATAAATAAAATATATCATTAGTTGTATTGAAATAGCAGAAATCAAAAAAATTAAGATACATATTAATGTTTGTTGTTGTTACCAGAGTCCTGAAATTAATGATACATAGTATGTCCAATATAGATTCCATAAGTGAATAAAATTGTAAGGTTGTAAGTGCACTGATAAAAACAAGAAATATTCTTATAGAACCTATACTCATATGTTAGGTCTATATTACTAATAACTAATAATACATGTAATAAGTTGTAAGTATTAAAAACCAACCCATAATAAAATTTCAAAAAAAATTACATATGTGTATCTGTGATCTAAGATGATCCTCTGTCTTAGACCCAATTTAAATTTACAGGTCTGATCTGTTAGTAAATGGAAATAAAAATATTAAAATCTTTAAGTTATTAGTTAGGTAGGTTCTAAATAGCTTTTAAATTTTATAAATTATTATAAGTTGTTATTAATCAGTAGATTACTGTACAATAAGGTTTTAATATTTTTTAAACTAGATAAGACATATATTTTTTATTCTATTTACGTGGAATTCTATTTTTAAAATGTTTTAAAATATGCTTTTAGAAAATAATGTTTTGAACACATTGGAATGTTACCAATTGTAGGGCTATTATGTTATGAAATCCAATGAAAGCCAGTACTTAGAAAATGTTTTTTGAAGACAAAAGTATTTTTCTAAGCATGTGAAAGCCTAATACATACAATTATTATTATCAAGAATAAAATATAATATATGTACAACCAAAATTTACTAAAAATTCATACATAAAAAATTAGCAAGTGGATACTGCTCTGCTGTATATTAGTTACTGACTGGGTGACTTTTATGGGTGTGTAAAATTTGAATTCAATGATATATTATTAGTATATGCAAAATAATTTTGAGCCAAGACAAAGTATATTTTGTTATATATATATATATATTTAATACATTTTTTAATTTTATCTAAATTTAAACATAAAAATTAATTATCTTTTTATATATTTCAGATTTTATGGTTTCAGTATGAACCAATTCTGATAAATATTGTATTAAATTTTCTAGATTTTGATATAAAACAAAAATGTTCTTAATTTTTTGTTTATTTTTCCCCATTAAAAAAAATTAACTGAATTTTTAATTTTGACCTCTTTAAAGTAGATCCAATTTCCTATACTAAACCATTTCAAACATTGAAATTAGAAGCATTTAATCGTGTATGACACTTGAAAAAAAACTCCATGAAATAAAAACATTTAATATTACGTTTAGAATCTAAAATTAATATTAAATAAAATTATGATACAATTGTAAATAAACACAATAATTATAATTTATAAAGTAATAGTAGGTATTCATATTTTAAAATTATAATTAGAAAAATTTAGGCTCATACTTTTAATACTGTTCGCTAAGTACTAACTATTTTTATAATATATTAATAGTAATACTGATAAAATTTTATAATTATATTTAGTATTTATGTATGAAAATTTGATTAACATATTAATAATATATATATATTTATTAATTTATGTATACATCTAAATTATTAATATTATTTTTAGCAAACTTTAAATACATATGAAAAAGATGATGATTGTGCATCAGAAAAAAGTTTTGGCAGTACAACCAGCAGTCAATGTGATAATGGTCATTCTATGTTTGCTCTTAATGGCACCACATATTCCAGTCGTAAAAAGGCTTATTTACACTATTGCCCCTCAAATATTGGCAGTGAAGAGTATCTTACTCCTACACAAAGATCTAGTCGAACTATCAGAAATCTTAGAGTAAAACAAAATCATTTTAACATTATAATGTTCAATAATGATAATAGTTATTGAATAATTTAGAGATTGCTAAATGATGCTCACAGTGAACTAAATGATAAAGATACAGAAATTGATCAGCTTAAAAGAGAAAATATTGAACTTAAAGTAAAGTGTGGATATGAAGCTGCTAATAATTCAATCGCAGAAGGTGATGAAGATGAGGAAACTGCTAGGTTCATACCCAGCAAAGAACAAACCCCTGAACCTGATTCGACGTAATTATTCTTTTGAAAATAAAATGTCATTAAAATTTTTTAATTGGTTTTTCTATTTCCTATTTTAGCAAACTTTCAAGAAGTTTTTTAAATCCATCACCATCACCAGCAGATTCAGGGCATGGTGATGAATATGATGAAGCTAAGAAATTACGCCAAGCTTATGATGAGTTACGCGAGAAACATAATGATAAGATTGAAGAATTATTAAAAAGCTTAGGAGAACTTAATGAAAAGTAAGAGCTGTTACTTCTACTTATTTATTGTTGGATAATAATGTAAACAGTATAGATTTTTATTGAATTTTGATCCAGAGATTTTGTCTTACTGGAATTTCAGCCATGCTTATTCCTGTATGATATACTTGCATATACTACAGTATACTTGCAAGAATGATATCAAAATAGCCACATGATATTGCATAACAACCAATATTTTTTCTTACGAATTAATGATTAAGTCAGAATTACTTAACAATAAGATAACTTGATTTGTAGTATTAAAGTTAAGAAAATTTAGGCAGAGGTATGATTAAAAAAATTGTTTTTAATATAAGTGATTGAGTTTAAGACAAAGACATGATGGTTTGTCAAAAAAGTCAGTGAAGATGAAAGTGAGAAGTGTAGATTCTATTATATTATTATATATTCTTTGATAAATACAAACTTCACAATAACAAAACAATCATCAAATTCTGCTAAGTTATTATTTTCTATTTTTATTTTTATCATAGAAGAGTAATGATATAAAAATAATATGAGTTGTATTTAAATCTATATTAGTTTTTTAATGTGATATTTAATGTATGTTTTTTAAGATATTACGGATTAAAACCATTACTTGATGAAGCAAACATCAGAATTAAAGAACTTGAAAGGGAAAATGATTTCCTTAAATGGTCTAAAACTGTACAAGATAATACTATAACTACTACTGATTCAGCTTCTATTAACCACATAAAGAAGAATTTTTGTGATGCTCTTACTCAGACTCAATCAATATTACAATTAGATAAGGTTTATTTTTCAAAAAAAAAAAAAAAAACAGTTTATCAATATTTTTAATATGTATTTATGGGTTTTTAGAGGACTGAAACTGATCAAACGCACCACAATTTCTATGATGCTATTACAGTAAATTCTCAAAGCTCATTACAGAAATCCGATTCAGACAAAAATCATGTTATCTCAACACAAACTCAACAAATTGTATGTCTAGAAAAGGTTTGTCATACCTTATTCATTTTCTCAGCATTTTTATATTATTAGTACTTATTTATCAATATACTTATTTAGGATACTGAGACTGATAACCAGGAACTTGAAGATGATGTAGATGAGTTGAGCAATATTAAATTGCAATTAAAAAAGACCAAAGTAAGATATACTATTTTGAATTATTTAATTATAATATACTACATTCTATTCAAATATTCTAATTTCTAACCTTCTTGTGTTTGTGTTCACTAACATGTAGCAATTTTATTTTGCGAATTTATTACTGTACACGTTTGTCTTGAGTAAACAATTATTTGTTTAGAATCTTTTTAGAATATGTTTAAAATTTAGGGACGTAGCCAAAGTGTTGGTGGCACTTTATTATCCGGACCTGAGGCCATTGCCCTTTGGATGATCGGCACGAAAAAGGTTCGTCTCTTAGATCCCCTCTTATGTGCAAATTTATGGCATTTTAATTTCTTATGCATGGGAGTTTAAGCGAGTTGTACATTGATCAATACTGGATTGGATTTCTATAATAAATTGTTTTTGTTTTATTAATATTGTATATTGTTATTTACTATTTTTATTTGGCAAGTAGTTGGTGGATAGGAAATATAGAACAGTAATAGATCAAAGTTAATGACATACATTATTTTATAATGAATTTTATTCAAGGAATATAATACAAAACAAATATGAAATTCACATATTTTTTTAATATGAGTTATTTAACTATGAAAAAAAAAAAAAAGTAATTATCAAAGTTTCACTTCTTAAATTTTCAATTGTTTTATTGCACGTGGTATAGCAATTTTTATATGAAACCAAACAATCCAATTTTTGTAAGCTTAAGTGTAAAATTACTATTTTATGTAATATTTATTACAAAATAAAGTTTTTCCTAAATTGTTTTTTCTAGTACAATTCTTTACTTTTTTTTATTGTAATAACATCAAAACAATATACTAATATACAATTGATTATAAAAGTTTATGGTATTGATAAGTTATTCATTAAAATGTAAAAAAAAATAGAATTTTTTTTTGAAATCTGTAGACTATATGTAAAATATATACTAAATAGATGAAATATTTTTAGATTAATTCATAATTGATACCTTAATTTGCTTAGGTGAAATATATTTTATGCACTTCTTTTATTATCCTGTTTCAGTAGTAAGTGAACAGAATATATAGTTTTGTCTTTTATATGGTTTTTTTTTTATTTTTGTTTGTTTTTTTTGTAGATAAACACAATATTGTAAAAAAAAGTGTACATAATTAGTAATTACTATTGCACTGGTTTATCCTAATCATGGCTGACTAGAGATAACCTAATAGCTTTGCAAAATAAGTTTATTTATTAACTCCCATTTATCAAAAAAATCTTTTATTTTGTGTTTTACAGGCAATGTATGAAACTATTCTCCAACAACAATTGGAACAACAACGTCAGCGTCCACTACATGATGCTGAAATGACACTACAATTCTTAAAATCAGCATTTTACTATTATCTTACCGATCCCTCTAATACCACTGGACATTTAAACGCAATATTAAGCATACTTCAGTATTCAGATGCTGAAAAAAAAATTATCGAGAGAAATCAAGCATGGAAATAACATTATTTAAAAACATATTTTCATCATTTATAGTACATTTTTGAATTATTTTAATTATTGTCCAATTTAAATTTACTGAAAATAATTTTTTTTCCTATGATTAATTTTAAAGTAAGTTTCCTAATTAGTTTATATTTCTTGGTTTTCTGTTTTTTTTCATTTTATTTTTAAATTTTATAGTATCAGTATTATAGTTATCAATAGGGTTCTTGTAAGATTTATTAGAGTATTATTTTTTGTTGTTTTAAAAGAACATTTTATCTTTTAAATAGACACTGTATTTATAACAATTTTCAATCAATTTAGATCAATTGATTTAACGCACTGATCATATTTTAGTATGACCAGTCACCTGTGACTATACAGTGTACTATACACTTTTGTGCAGTATGTTGTCAATTTATAATGTATCAGTATTGTGATAAACTTAAATTGTGATTAATAAATTTATTATTTATCAAAATTAATATTATTTTTTTTTTAGTTTTTAGTTTGCGCATTAGCTTATCTATGATTATTTTAAAGTGTATTTAAAATTACGACCTGTAATATTATTTTTTAAACTTTAAAATTTGTAGAATTTAACAGAGGGATTCTATTGTACACGTTTAAGATTTTGAGTTAAAATAATCAAAAGTTTATTATATTCTAATCACTAATGAGTAATGAGACTTTAAAAGTTCAGAACATTTAACACACAATAAATTATTGTTCAGTTTCGAATTCGTACATTTTTACAATTATTAATATAACGTTAACATATTATACAATTAGGTAGTAGCCAGTAGACAAATTAAATTATGTCAATAGACAATAATAGATAACTATACCTCTTATATGGTAGGTATGTTTTTATGGGTTTCCGCACACGAATACCGTTCCGCAAAAGTCTTAATCATTCGATCAACAATATGTAATTACGTCATAATAATACCTACGTGAGCGACATGCGTATATGCCAAATTTTAAATTTCACGACCTGTTTAGGTATCAGATTCCATTACGTCTTGGATTGACAACATCACCAGAATCCATTATTATATATTAAATAACCGTGCATTGTAAATTCGTGTATATTTTTACTTCATTTTTTTGAATTTATAAAGTTTATTGAGTCTTTTGGAACGGGGTAGTTAGGTATGCGACGGGATGTCTCTTAACTAAGCCTCCATCTTTCTCCCGTCCAATGCTACAGCTGCTATAGATTCCTCCAAGCATTAAGTAAAAACACCTCGTCCTGACATCCAAAATCCTGTTTTTACGACAGCTTACCGGGATCTTTTCCTTACAGAATTCAGTTCCTCAGTCACCGCGCATAGCAGTAGATTTTGGCCATTCCAAGTAGTCCCGCTCATCGGAATCTTCTCCCGTCCTAATCAGTAAATAACTACAGTATAATGTTTCTAGCTCTATACATTCTTTCTTTGTTTCTACTCAACCGTATGAAACATTAAAACGGGTCAAATGTTCGTTGTTATCAACTACTGAACTTTGTAAATCGTTTAACCAATATATTTGCGTTTCATGGTTTTATTTTTTTTGATGATCCTTGTTCTCGGTGTTTTCTTTTCATTCACGTCCTTCACCGAGGTCAAACCAAATACCGGGTAGCTGGTATAAGCCGGTATAGTGACGTTTTTAGATTTTTGCAAGGAGAGTGATTAACATTTTTGATTACTTATAAAACCACTTAATTACGTTAAAAGAAAGAAAATTATATTTTTTTACGTTTACCTGTAGATGTTATACTAAATTGTATAGTTTATTATAATTATATAATAATAAGCGCGTGTGAGAGAAATTTGTATTTATTGTATATTTGTATGTTATTAACAACGACGTCGACTTTACATGTACATGATCTCACGTCTGGGCGTCCCTCAATGGTGGTAAAATGTAAATATTCTTTAATTACTTAATCGATTATCAATGGTACCTATCACTTATTTTAATGATATCAATCATTTTATTTAATTTTAAATTATAATATTTAATATTAAAAATCACACGGAAAAATTACTGAAAACATAAATTTTTATTATTACAGTAGATTTTTCTGTGTAAGAAATACATTGAGGAATATAACACCTTCCGTGAGCATCGTACCGTCTGATACTTGAACGTTTTCTTGGACGACATTTAGTGGATTGGCTTTCTTCCATAGACTCAAACATTCTATAAAATGTTTGTAACTTTCTTCACATTTGTGGAACGTACCTAGGAAGTAGGAATCTACGGCCTTATCTAACTGCTACATTTTGGGTAGGTATGCTGTGTAATAACAATTATATTAATATCTATAATTAAAAAAATATTTGGAATTCCGACATTTTTCTTACACTATTAGTTAGTAAATAATTAGCACGTAATTAAGAAAATGGTTTTTGCGAGCCAACAGGACACGTATTGGACTTGTCGTCAAAATATATGTTAATTACGTGTTGAATAAATTACAATTAATTAAATTTGTAATAAGAGGTACGTGTGGGGCTGGAGACATAATATGTCGCTATTCGCTGATCCAACCTTTTGAAACTTTCTTTATCATTTATGCTTAGATTAAATTCATGCAAATTCTTGCAAATTACGTACTAAATAATTACACGATAAAATTACACATCTTTCGTTTTGAATGGGATTTGAGCTCATGAATTACTAGTCGAATTTTCAATATCGTAACCAAAAACTAGTTTTTGATTAAAAACAATTAAAAATGAGGGAAGTCATTAACGTTACACTATTATAATAAATAATAATATTTATGAGTAAAGCATTATTATATCTGTAACATTTTCCAAGAAAAAAGTGAAGATTTTGAATTTGTAGTAAAATTGCCTATACAAAACACCTTAAAAAACTTAATATTATAATTTATTAGATATAGAATATTTATCTATTTAAAATCAACTATATAATAAAAATAATGTTGTTGTTTTTTATATTTTACTAACGGATAGGTAATCAAACATTTTTATTTTGTAAATTATCTGATTTTTATTAGTATTAAAAATACTTATTTTCTAAATGAATATTTTTATAAATAAAATGCATTTAACATTTTTTAATACATAAAAATTCTAGCACAGTATATTATACATTTATACAAGACATAGAGTAATTTACCCCTATTTTTTTTAAGTAATGGAGTTATTCAAAATCGAATTTTTGGAATTTTAAAATATTCTTGAAAACTATAGATTTCCAAATATTTGAGATTTTTTGTACAACTTAAGATGGTCCTATGGCATGTAAAACCTTTTTTTGTATTTGTAACCCCCTCTTTTTTTGTAATTGATTGGACAGATATTATTTTTATAAACTATTATGTACCTACCTAAATCAAATTATTAGTAAACTTTAAGTATCCATATATATCCCGGGCGCTAACAATCGCTACATTGTTTAAATTTACAAAATAAGTTTGATTCAGCGCTCGGAATACAAAGACTGTATAGTCTGTAAGAACTCAGAAGTTCAGAAAGAATCTACTTTGAAGGTAATCAAATGTAATTATCAAATAACTATGTATATTTTAACATGTTCTAATACATATTGATTAGACATCGTAACGATAGTGCAGATGGTTACAGGCGTTACAGCGTTCACCACTTTTTATTTTTGGACTCTTAATAAACAAAAAATAAACAGTTAAAAACTAACTTTTTAAAAGAAAAGTTCTATAGTTAGTATACCCCGCGTATAAACGATCGTCATATTAGCTGTAGACATCACTCAATGACGCCCTTGCCCCAAGATACTTGTATGTAGGGCCGGCAGGGGATATAAAAAGTTGTGTGGGTGCTGGTGAATGGTGACGGATATAAAATGCTTGCCTCTGATCATTTTCACGACTTCGCCACGCCACTGGCTATACAGCAAATGGATCACGCCCCACATTAAATAATTATTATTGTATACATGAGTGCATACTTCAATTTCTGCACGTGTACTATACATATTATTGGTAATAAGTAGTGTGTAAAACATACACGCCCGTTACTTCCGCAGTATACTCGTACATACGTAAGTCTCAAAATGCGATACTCGCGTACAGTCATGCAATATAATTATATAATTTTCAGAAGTGATGGGGTGAGGTAATTGACAACGCTCTCGTACACACCATAGTTATATTGGTTATTGGTTCAATCGTAACAATATCAAAACAGAAATATTGGCATATTATATTAAAATGTGTATCATTACTTATAAGTGTATAATGTATTATGTATAATAGTCGGTATATTGTAAAGATTGAAATCGTTTTGAGTGTTAATGAAATGAAATTCTTTATTTTCTTTTTGTTGTATTTAAATAATTATGATAAGTAAAATCATAAATTTAAATAAAATTTTAGTTGTTGAAATAACGTGCACGGTCGCAAATGGACAACAAATACCAACCATAATCATATAGTCCATGTACCATTTCGGACTGCCATAACTGTGTTTATATCTATAACTACTTTTATTGGCACCAGTGCAGAAGACATGTGATTTTTTTTGAGATAGTAAAAGATTGAGAGACTGTAAATTTCAGCTTTGTACATATAAAGATACCTCCTACTTCCCAGGCATGAAGGCTTATTTTTAGTTACCTATAAACTGAATTGGATAGTACATACTACCTATATATATAAGTAATTTTTTAGTCAATAATTTTATTGTTATTGCAAATGCGTTATTTTCATTAGTTATCGTGTTCTGCTGTTAACGGACTGAATCAATATTATCCCACTTAAAAATTTGTAAAACTAAATGATTAGTTTTTTTATAATTTGATGCCAATTTTAACAGATTTTAGACCTATTTAACAGTAAAAATAAGTAATTAATAAGAAGATAAAAAGTTTTATACAATATTATAAGATCACAACGCTGTAAGTAGCTAATTTATATGGATATGTATACATTTTTGAGAGGATAAGGTCTTATATGTTATTAAAATTTTGATCTAGATACATTATAGGTATATCATATTATAATTCATTATGATTGTTATAAAAAAAATTATAGTAGTTCTGACTACAAGAA